ATATTGAACTGTCATTGCTGCAATCAAAAACCAGTGATGTGTCTGATTCAGCAGAGCGTCAACTTACCCAATATAACATGAGCTCTGCAGAGTCCAGCATTTCTAATGAGATTAGCTCCATTCAGCTCCCTTTTAGCCAAAGATGTCTGCGGTTGGCATTAAAGCAGTGTGGTGTATGCTAAAACTCAAGCTTTCGAATTTGGCATCCTACCGCACAACACCACATGTTTGCTATTGCAACTAGTCTTTCTTTTGCAACCGGTATGCGTAGCTGAACCCGTGTGACGTAGGTTGGTAATTCCCCTATAACTGGTGCCCAAACCTGGAGGGCCGGTGTCCTGCATATTTTAGTTCAAACCCCAATTAAACACACCTGAAGCAGCTGATCAAGCTCTTTCTAGGTATACTCAAACTTCCAGGCAGGTGTGTTGAAGGAACCTGGAGCTAAACTATGCAGGACACCGGACCCCTAGGACTGAGTTTGGACACCCCTGCCCTATTAACAGACCACAGCTGTTTGAAAATCCAATCAACACCCCATCAAGCAAATCAAGCCCCGCCCACATTTGTTCTTTACTCAGATGACTTTAATGTCATCAGTTCAGTTCAGCTCCTCTGTGTTCCTCCAGCTCTTCTACACTGTAGTGTGTGTGTCAGCAGCTGAACACAGAAGTTCTAGTGTTCAGAGCTGAAGCTCAGTTCAGTTCAGTGTGGGTCAAGTCCAAACACTGCAGAGCAAATCCATCCCTGCGAGACAAACGGCCAAAAACACAGCTCAGTGTGGACACGATCTCGCACCACTCCTGCATTTAAAGAGGATCTATTATGCCCTTACATGCTGTAAACTGCGTCTCCGCTGTCTCTAGTGTGTGTGAGCTGAGAACACACACAGATGTTCTCCAGCTCTCTGACATCGACCCTTTTAGACTTTGATCCTAATTGTGGTGTTTTGGTGACTGCCGCTTTAAATGCAAATGAGATTGTGCGGTGAGACAGCAGTGTGTGTGTGTGCTTGATGCTCCTGTTGCTGTTCATCTAGAACTCCACATCTATAATCCTCTGAGTCTATGCTGACGTCATCTTCAGCAGCTCACACACTCTAATGGACAGACGGCTGCTCCTCACTCAGGCCTGCTGGACATGCTAATGAGATGGAGAGATGATGGGCACTAGTGGGCGGGGCTTTCCCCCTCTGTTTGAAAGACTCACACCGTCTTTAAACCTCTTATAATACTGATTTTTGCATAATAGGTGCCTTTTAAAGAAACAGACTGCAATATAGCAGTTCACATTGGTTATTATCATCATTACAGGTATAGTTAATATAATGTGGTTATTGTTGTTATAGTTGTGAGGTTTAAGTTATTACCCTTATCTTTGTTGTTATTATTATTGAGCAGTGTTCCCATGGGCATCTGTGATTCAGCAAACGGACACTATTGACACACACACACACAGTGTTTGTGAAGTCAGTCAGTGTGTTTATTTGAGCTGGCTGATGGTGTGTGTTGTGTGTTGTGGTAGATGAAGTCTTCAGGCAGGGTTTCAGCAGGGATGCGGCTCAGCTGTTCATCACAGGAGCGCAGCGTCCACAGCTTCTCCAGCTCAAACTGATCTCTGCAGTCCCGCAGCATCAGGTGAACCACCACTGAGCCTGAGGGACACACACACAGTCTCAGTCATAAACACTACAGTCAGTCCGTATCTCACACACACACACACACGAGAAACACAAACGCTACACACCGAAGTCGATGCACTTCCAGTCATCACAGTCGCTTCCCTCCAGACGAACATGTCGCTCCTCATCCTTACGCAGAGTCTTGAACTGCAAATGGACAGAGTGAAATCAAACCAATCATTCACACACTCCATTACACCTCAGTCCGGTTTACACACAACATCCTAATGACATTTGTCTGTTACATTGGTGTGAATCTGAAGTGAACTGGAATGTGAATGTGGTTTCTGGAATCGGAGCGAGTGTGAATGTGGTTTCTGGAATCAGAGCGAGTGTGAATGTGGTTTTGCATCTGAAATGAAGCAGAGAAAGTGAATGCAGTTTGTTTGATTTGAAGGTAATCAGAGTAAGTGTGAATGCGATTTCGCCTGTTACACTGCTGTGAATTGGAGTGAATGTGAATGCAGCTTCTGTAATTTGATGTGAATGCAAATGTGGTTTTGCCTGTTATATTGGTGTGAATCTGGAATGAGTGTGAATACAGTTTTGCCTTTGTTGCCTTGATGTGAATCAGAAGTGAACTGGAGTGTGTGTAAATCTGGATTGAGTGTGGATACAGTTTCATCTGTTACATTCTTGTGAATTGGAGTGAATGTGAAAGTGGCTCCTGCAATTTGAAGTGAATCAGAGTGAATGTCTGTTTGCCTGTTACACTGATGAGAATCTGTAATAAGAATATGGTTCATCTCTTATGTTGTTGTGAATCAGAAGTGAACTGGAGTATGTGTGTGTGTGAATCTGGAATGAGTGTGAATACTGTTTCGCCTCTTGTTGTTGTGAATCAGAAGTGAACTGGAGTGTTTGTTAATACAGTTTTGCCCGTTACATTGTGGTGTATAAGAAGTGATCTGGAGTGAGTGTGAATGCGGATTCTCTTCTGTACCACTTTGATCAGAAACGCTGCCATTGCGCTGAGGTGTCGAGGCGACGCTCCGCTCACGATGATCATGTAATCGGTGTATTTGAGCTCCGGCGCGACTCTGATGACGCAGATATCGGTTGCGTTCTCCTGCCGCAGCGCAGACACCAGCAGAGGCATATCCAGCACCTGCGCACACTCTATACACACACACACACACACACACACATGTTCAGCTTCTCATATTCATAATGCAGGAGTATTGAATATGAGATTAATGCGTATATACACGGTTTTACAACATCCAATACAGGTTTAAAATATGATAATGTCAAATCTGTAATGTTTAAAGCACATTAAGAATGATGACATATTTTTGTTATCAGTATAAATATGATGACACATGGTAATGTCTTGTCAGAAAGCATTACAGTGTTATTCAATACAGTCAAATGGTGATTTTCCAACAATTCTGCTGCTTAATATCTGTATTTATATCCTGATTTCACAATGGGAATATGACAGTAATGGAGAACAACACTTGATTAAATTGTTTGAGTGTATTATGATATTTAAATATAGAACTGTGAGTACACTGCTGCTATTAGTCCTATATAGACTGTCTAATAGAGGCAGAGAGAGCTCAGGTGCGCTTCTCTTCTGTGCGCGTCACCTGTTGTGTAGTTGTGCAGGTGTTCAGCTGGCGTGTTGCTGTAGTTGTGTTCTCTTGTGTGTGTGTAGTTCTCAGCAGCTCCTGCTCTCCTCCGTGTGTGTCTCTCGGTTGTTTCACCGCTCAGCACAGTTGTGACCTTCCGCTGGACACAGCTCGATCCTCCCGCCCTGAACATCACCCTGAGCGGCGCGTTAGACGCCAGACAGCGCGCTGCGATCATTCTCTCTGCTTTACAAACCCAGAGTCTGTGCTCTATCTGTCAGAAACATCATTGTTTTGAGCTCAAACTCCACATGACGTCTATCCGTCTCTCGGTGTCGCTGTATTGGAGCAGCGCGTGTGTAACTGCGCCTCCTGCCGGTGTGGAGGAGCGTCACTCTACTGCACCTAATAAGTAAGTACTAATCAATTTAATTAATCAATAATGGAGGTTATTATTCTGCTTGTACTGTGGTTACGCCACTTGAATCCACGGTTGAGAGTGTGTCCTCCTCAAACATCTCCTGTGTGTAGCACTAGTGTCCTCCACATCTCCTCTATGGAGCCAGATCAGTCTCAAAAAGATAACATTTGCATTCATAAATGCACAGCACAATTCATAAATCCACAACTACAATTTATCAAGTCAAAGGTTATCAGCAGAAATATTTCCCCAATGTGCACACATCAGCATCTGACATAAACACATGTAAATGTTCACCGCTGTGTTCATATGGAGCTCTCGGATGACTCCTGCATGAAGAGTTCTGTTAGATGTGTTTATGAGCTGCTGAATGTGCATGTGAAGATGCTCTGAGTGTGTGTGTGTGTGTGTGTGCGCGCTATTATTAAGACCTTCCTAACAGGACACGATTCCTAAACATCTTTTATTTAAGAGGATATTCTGTTTAGCCCATCACTGAGTGTTTCATCCACCAGTCAAAACACTCCTTACTGAACAACCTCCAGAAGCTTCACCATTCATTCATTCATTCATTTTCTTGTCGGCTTAGTCCCTTTATTAATCCGGGGTCGCCACAGCGGAATGAACCGCCAACTTATCTAGATAGTTTTTGCACATTGGATGCCCTTCCAGCCACAACCCATCTCTGGGAAACATCCACACACACTCTCATACACTATGGACAATTTAGCCTACCTACTTCACCTGTACCGCATGTGTTTGGACTGTGGGGGAAACCGGAGGGAGAACATGCAAACTCCACACAGAAGCGCCAACTGAGCCGAGGCTCGAACCAGCGACCTTCTTGCTGTGAGGCGACAGCACTACCTACAGCGCCACTGCTACAGCGCCACTGCTCGGCCATTCAATATATATATATATATATATATATATATATATATATATATATATATATATATATATATATATATATATATATATATATATATATATATATATATATATAAAATATATAAAATAAAAAAGAATAGTTTTAGCAGTATTATTAGACATTCATCTTTAAAATAAGGTCATAGTAAGGTGTTTTAAGCACTTTTATCTTGACAGAGTGGCACAAATATTCAGACCCTCATCATACTCCAGCATCTCAGCATGTGTGTGTTATTGAGCTGAGCAGCTCTCATAATCCTGTCATATGCACAGCATGGAGCGAATGAGTTTGTGGTGGCCAGCAGACTCGACTTCAGTGTAGGCCTAATATATTTGCATCAGCCATAAATTAAATGAGCTGAGTTATGCTATATATCAGTACACACTCAGAAATAAAGGTACGCCAGCAGTCACTAGGGTAGTTCTGGGATCAGTTTATTGTACGGTGCGCGTCTGTCAGCGCTTATACAGGCATTCACTGGTTCAGAGGATGCATATGAAAGGCGACGATCAACGCACAGATTTAATGTAAAGAAAGTGGGACAGAATGATAAAATATGGGAGAATTTCAGCAAAAACAGAAGGGTTTATGTGAGTGAAGTGAACAGGAAGTGTTTGTGGAGAAACAGTTTTGCGAGGGAACACAAAAACTTAGAAATATATATTTTGCTCCCACATATTTTTATTTCACCCAGCCATTTTTTTTCAACTCCACTATGTCCCTTCCGGGGTTCCGTAATTTTATATATTTGCCTGTAAAGTAATAGATAATATTGCTCACATGCATAGACGGTTGTTGCTGGATCAGATACGGTCACGGCTGAAAGTTAATGAGAATTATTTATTACATTTCTCATTTATTATATTTTATTAAAGTCTACCCTTACCCCAATCCTAAACCCAACTGTCACAGTAATGTAAAAACAGTAGCTGTACCGAGTATTATACATGTTATTTATTAAATTACCCAATAAACTGTATTTTATTAACCCCTACTTCCACCCCGACCCTAAAGCCAACTCACAGTACTGTAGAATATTAATTATTGTTATACAGTGTTGGATAAAAGATGGATGCTATATTGATGTGGGTATCCGCAGCTGTATCCCTTCTAGACTTTACCCCATAGACTGGTTGAACCTGAATTCGAATAGAACTACAAACGCAGGTAAAGAGTGTAAAACTACAAACATGGCGGACGCGAGAGACCAACCGAGAAGCCTCGGTAAATATAGTCAAACGGTTTCCGCTTGATGTTTTATCAGGAACAACATTTTTAAAGACGTGTTTGGTCAATAATTTCTGAATGCATAATAATCCTGCTGCAGAATCTGCGATAAGATAATTATATTTAAATTAAAGTGAGGTGAGGAGATGATTGACAGGTCTCGTAACTAGGCAACATAACGGTCCGTTAAAGAGAAATAACGGTAGTTTTCTTGAAAGCTTGCGTTACACACTCAAAAGTACGGTTTCTTTAAGACAGGTTATACTCTTACTTTATCGTATAATAACGTTAGGTATTACCTTATCTGCGACGTGACTTACTCTCACTTCTTGACCGGAATATTCACGATGATCCTCGGTGACGGTAACAGCTGTTCACAGCCGCGAACTCGCGAGAGTCTCAACGGCGGCCAGTAACGGAATATTGGATAAATCCACCGAACAAAGCACTTCGATACTCCAAGAGGACATTTCTGCGATCATTGACTCAACATGTCTCTTCACTTCTCTTGTCCACGACGGTGAAATGTCTTATTTCCTCACAGCTTCAGTTTCCTTCCACCTTTTCTATCTTCCGGAACTTCCGGTCACCAATCTCCATCTCGAAGACAGGTAAGCGCTTTTTAATTAAACACAGGGGAAAGTGTGATGATTTATATCAGGAGCAAAGAGCTCAGAATCACCAACAGGTCAGGCGACACTCAGGAGAATGTTCCAATACAGCAGCGCCCAGCAGCAGCCCCGAGATCCCGCCCGTTTGAATGAAAGCCATCGGCCGTCCATTGGATCTTATTTCTGTCATGGTGGCAAGCAGCTGCTTTATTTTTTATTTATTTATTGAAAAAGCGCATTAAAGCGGAGATACAACCTGGAAGACGACACTACAACACTTATCATTAGCTCTTTTAATAGTTTAAATGCTGAATGGCCGCCGCGCGGCGTGACACTAGCGGCATCTAGTGGCTGTTTCCCAAATCGCACTAGAGTGTCGCCTCTTGGTGATTCTATGCTCTTTGGTCAAGAGTGAAGTTTGTTTTAGTACTTTAGTGAGATTTATCCAGCTGCAGAACCACACACGTTCTAGGCACACGATTTTGGCTAACCATATATGGTAACTAACTAACTCTTTAGCATTATCGCCACCTATTGAATTTCACAAATATGCTTTCCCATTTCAGTTATCATTATTATTATTATATCGTAACGATCATTTTAACATCTCTGCAGTTTCTGAACTCAAATTATGTAAAAATAATTGGTTAAAGACTTTATCCATGTGTCCACATAAACAAAGAAAACATCATAGACTGTCTATATTGTGGGATTAAGTGTAATAAACTAATTCAGGTTCTTAATCTTTTCATACTTGGTTAAAATCACTTTGTTGTAAAATATAAAAAGCAAACAATAATGTGTCACATTAAAATAAATTAGCCTACTATTGTTAATAATTTAAACAATATATATATATATATATATATATATATATATATATATATAGTTATAAACTGATCATCTTAACTGATCTATATATTTATCTGATTATAATTATAAGTTTATGTATATTTATCTTTTACTAACTGTCACAGCTGTTAGTTATATATATATATATATATATATATATATATATATATATATATATATATATATATATATATATATTCTTATTTTTTTATTAATTATTAATAGTTAATTTGTTCCTATAGCTAAATTTTAGTTTAAAAACAAGACATTGCTTACTATAAATTACTACAGTATTAAATGTGGGAATTCATAATTAAAAGGTAATTAGAAAGTTAAGAAAATAAACACTATTAAATCGCTTGAGTAAAATATTAATATAGTGTCATACATTTATTACATGTAAAAAGATTTTTATTACATATATGTATTATTGCGTTTATTAACTTGCTATTATTTCCTTCATTATAAATGAGTCCATTATACAAATTAAACCTGTCCAGTTTAGATCATTCAGCAAGGCCAGCAAACGAGTATCTGCCATATTATTGCCAGATAATAATGACTGATCACATATAATGATTAAAAACTGTCCAGTCTATATTACTGAATGGCGAAATAATGCTCCCCATTCACCTGTCCCGATCATAATGCTATTGTTTATTGTGTACAATATTTATTAACCATGTATATCAAAATATATCGATGTCGAAGTTCAAAAAGAGGTTAATAATATTAACATCCGTCGTAACCATATATGGTTTGCCTAAATCGTGTGTCCTAGATTGTGTGTGCTTAGAACGTGTGGGGTTCTGCGGGCCTGCAGCTGGATAATATTGACTTTAGTAGGCGACACAGTGAGTCTTTATACAGTTAGCAAGATGTTCACTCTAACTGCTGGATCATGCTAGTCTTACATCATTATCAGGCTGTGCTGAATTGGCCAGTGAGGCTGGGTTAAGCTGGCATCACTTACCCCCATTAATGATTGAGTTCAGCTGATTATTTTATTGTAACTGTATATTGCATTACTATACATTTTACCACTTCAACTGTGACTGTCATTTCCATTCTAACCATTGTTCTGTGCTAAAGCTCAACATTTGCTGGTCAGACATTAAAAGAGCCCTGGCACTAGTTCAGTAGATATTACAGTAGGATTACTCATATCAGTGAACACACTCTTATATTTCACATTATAGTCACACAAATGGCCGGGCAATGTGCTTTAAACATGACAGATGCATCAATATTGTTCTATAAAGGCTAAATTGAGTCTGCAGTCTGTAAAACAGATCTTCTCTGTGTTGTTTTGTGTTGTGTTCACACTTATTGTCAGATCAACACACAGATAAAGTAGTTCAGGCATGTTTTGAGTGCATTACAGTGCCGTATCACTACGCTGAAGGATTTGACTTGTGTTAATGCAAGGAGCCGGTGTGATGAACAAAGAGCAGGAGTCAGAGATACAGTTTATTGAAGACAATAGTTTACAGTTTGATCAGCAGAAAACAGCTTCAACACACTCCATGGGGTTCGCAGGCCGCTCTGCGTACAGTCTCAATTTCACAGAAATGATAGAAGAGCGGCACACATGTGGTCAGTGACCGAATCAGATCATCAGGAATTCATACTTCCATTGTTTTCTGACATGATGCTGTTTTCCGCTTCTGCTTCCCACATTGTGCACTTCCTCCTGCGAGTGTCGCAGTCAGAGCTGCATGCAAATGAGGGCCGGCTGAAGCCTCCCCATTGGCCCATTAGCTCTAGATTGACAGCTCATCAGCTTCCCTCCTCACCTGATTGGCTGGAGGAGCTGTCGGTCTAGAACTGGTGGACCAACGGGGAGAGACACTGCTCACTGCAGAGCCATTTGAGCAGAGCTGAGCTCCAGCGAGGGGGAGCTTGAGCTCTTGCTCCTCCTCCTATAAGCAGTTTTAATGTGTAAACCCACCCCTAACCCCAACCCCCAGTGACATCGCTCGTACAAGAAGTGCAAGGAAGGAGGAGCGAGACGTCAAGCTCCCCCTCGCTGGAGTTCAGCTCTGCCCAAATGGCTCTGCAGTGAGCACCAATTGAACAGGGGCGCTTCATCCGGCCCTCATTCACATGCAGCTCTGACTGCAACCCTCGCAGGAGGAAGTGCAGAATTTGGGAAGCAGAAGCGGAAAACAGGAAAACAACAAATAACAAACATGAAAGAATGAAAACCTTATTTTTTTTTTTTAAATGATCAATATACAAACTTAAACGGGAAACAAAAACGGCATTTAACAAAATATACACACTTCCAATCACATTTACATTACAGTGCAAACACACATTTTAACACATGACATTAAAATAGAAAGAAAAAAACTTTTTATCAGGATTACACAAAAACAATCAAATAAAATTGAAATAAAAATAAAGAGACATATTTTAAAAGGAAGGAGACTCGGATGTAGTTTTGTTTAGTTCCTCTGTAGCCTTATTCTCTTTGGATATTACTTTTAAAGACTCTAAATATGTTTCACATTCCTTTTTAAAGCAGTTAGTCGAGGGTTTACTCTTAATCCATTTACTTTGTGTATATAATATTTACCCATAATAATAATAATAATGTTTCACATCAAAGGAATTTTTTAGAAAAACCATCTGCATAAACCAAAACCTTAATCAAATTTAGGGATGGAATGTCAGTTTCTATATTGTTATTTAGCCAACAGCAAAGGTCCTGCCAAAACTGTTTTGTGACTGGACAAGAGAAAAAGAAATGGTTTCAGTGGTTTCAGGCTTCCTGCTGCTGATGGGGTGTACGTCATGCTGAACCGCTCTAAATCTCCTCTAAAACGGGTCCTGTGTCTGGGTGGACAACATAAACTACACATGTAAACAACAGTCTTTATTGGTATTTGATTTTCAGCCATGGGTGATTCAGAATCTCCTCCACTGGCAGCAGTATCCCATCTTCTTCTTTTTCATCAAGGGTATAGAAGTTATCTACAAATGCCAGGAATTCTGTCACATTTTAAAAGAGAAAGTGGGTTAAAGATGGACACAAGCGACACGTGAAAACATGACACACACACACACACGCGCACACACACACACACACACACACAGCACTTATCCCTCCTGTTGCCTCTGAACTATCCTCTGGATAGCGTCTCTCTATAGTTGTTAAAGGTGATATTTAATTAATTTTGTCTCTGTCTAATGACTCTTTGCTCTTTTGAATCAATCAGGTAATGCGTCACAGCATCAGCACACTGCTTAAACTAATTAATCTTAGTGAAACTTTTTTTTACCAACCAAGTTTGCTGACGCCATTATACGGACACAGACCACTCTGCCTACTCATGCAGAGTCCAGTGGAAAAGTGATTGACAGGTGTCATTTGTGTGTAGCTTCTCTTTATGTATTTATGATTTGGTTATGGGTAAAACAAAGAGCATGCGGGTCAGGTAGTTTAAACAGCAGGCTACAAATAATCCATTATGACTTGATTCATTATTCATAAATAATTAAGGCTCAAGATAAAAGAAAAACATTGTTCAGGGTTTTTCTGCTGGTTAAATGGGGCCTGAGTGGTTTCTGACCCGTAAGTCAACAGGAGGGTTGGACAGGGTTAGTTAGAGTCTTCTTCTTACCTGCAGGGATGCTGGAACAATGTCCTGCTATTTCCTTAATGAGGATAAACAGCTGGCTCACGGTCACATTAACAGCTTCTGATGAAGAGATCTTGGTATCGGTCCGTGGGTGTTTTCCTGGATGTGTCAGGAAGAGAGAGAGATGTGAGGTGTTGAGCAAACAGTTCAGTAATCATGATCATTACACTAAAGAAAGTTCACTGCTGAGCAATTCCAGCGTTACGGATGTGACATTTACAGTAAAAACTCAAGACATTAATGAACAGAGGAAGTATATGGTGACATTATAATGAAGCATCGGTTTATATTTCCCAAAACAACTAACCACAGAGTTACGAGATCAGAAAAATACCCATCCGTAAACATTTTAAATAAGGAAAATTAACATCAGTGTGACCAAACAGTCTGAGTTTACAGTACACAACATACTTTGTAGAAATTCAGTGAATTAAACTGCACAACCCAAAAGACACGATGCTAATCGAGAGGAGAAGAGTCGCTCACTGTAGAACAAACATGACTGATTTCTGCATTTATGCGGGAAAAACTTGCTTATGGATGTGACTGATGTGAAATTGGCACTTGTGTGGCTCTGGTAAATTAAATAAGACCGGTTTTACAGTACTGTAAAATACAAGTCTACACAAAAGAACGTAGAAAGGGTTTCGCTATTTGGTGGACATGTGCATGGAATTGCTCTGCTCCTTCCTGCAACAATCAGACTTACCAGGAATCATGAGCTTCCCTCGTCCAAAATCAACTAGCCTGATGGACAGAAACGGTTCGACGACCAGGATGTTACTGTCATGCATGTCATAATGACAGATGTTCCGCTGCAAGCACTCCTGTCCTGCTTTGACAATCTGCCGGATCACAGTGCGCGCGTCCCACACATCCAGGTCTTCATTCCGCTTCAGGAACTCCTCCAGTGTTTGGCACGAGTCAAAATACTCCATCACCAGCATTATCTTCTTATTTTCCTGTAAGCAGATGCAATGAGTTAAAATAAAGCACATGACAGCAGTCCTCAGGTCAGTCTTCACACCGGCTTCCAGTTACATTCAGGATAGATTTTAAAGAAGAAACGAGTTTATTTCGCTTACCGCACCGCCATATTATTAACCCACGAGCTTTTCTGAAAACAAGACAAAGGTATTTACTTGTCCAGAAATGCTTCTTGATTTAAGAATTAAGTCACAAAATTAAAACGACAATAAGAATCAAGACAAACCATCCTGCAGCGCATCGTGCATAAAATGTGCTGAATAAATAGACTTACCCCATCTGATGTTTCCTCTTCATCCCAAAACCATTCATAGAGTCTGGGGAGCTGCATGCTGGGTGGACGTCTCGCAAGAGTCATCATGGCCACTTCATTTGGTAGGAGTCCCGGATACCTAGGCTAAAGATAAAGTGCACATTAGCTGCAGATCAACAACATGTAATCCTGTTTTTCCATATAACTGTAAAAGAAAATCTGTAAATCAGCAGTTTTCCGTATTTTGTGATTCATGTTTTTTTCTGTGTGTTTATTTATGCTTTTGAATTGCAATATGTGAGCTTGATATACATTATCTGTACTGGTCGTGTGAATTGTGATGTAAAAATCTGGTAATTCGGCTTCTGACTGTATTAGATTTTGGTGTGATGAATTGCGGAAGCTTTGATATTATCAAGATATTGAGCTGAGCTGTGAAACAGATTAATTTAGCAGGTATGACAACAACAATACTTAGTGTATTGATTATTAAATACATGTAAAAAGATTATAAAGTACAATAGGTAACACTATAATAAAGTATAAACTAAACTACTTTAGATAAATTAACTGATGTTAACGAGAGGACTTTACTGTACAGTGTTAACGAATAAAAGACAAACAGTCTCTGAATACTCAATGTCGTAACCCAGATTAACATGAGAAAATCATCATGTTTGAAAATAAATGGCCTATTAAATGTTCAACATGTTGCAAAATAAAACAATCTGAATATTCTTAAAGACACTAAAAGTGTAAATAATAATTATTCATGGCGTGCTGGATGCTACATTATTGTGCATGTTCATTATCATCATATATATGATTACTGGAAATAAACTGCCAGTCCTTTTTCTCTTATAAAGAGAGAGAAATATAACAGAAATATAAAGGCCATTAATAAAGTCACTGTTAAACTGCAGAGTTGAATTTTCAGCATCAAAACTCGACAGAGCACAGAATAATTCCCATCATAACCGTAAATAAACAGAAAACAGCAGTGAATCACAAAATGATCAGAAGTTATTTGTATAACCACAGCTGTAGACAGACTCATCTATTAAGAGTATTTTGTGATGCTTCAAATATGAATCACGGATGTTTTCAGGCTTACCACTTTGTTGTCAAGTTCTGTAGTAGTCGACTTGATGGCAAACTGTAGATGAAAAGCAGAATAAAACATGAGTGAGCAATCAAACAGCATTTCTCCAAAGTTGATGTCCTCTAAGCTGGACTAGGGAGAATAGACTTACCTGTTGTCCGTCGGCTTTTCTAATAGCACGATAGATCTCGCCGTGATGGCCCTTTCCCACAAGTTCCTTCAGGTCATACTTTTCTTGCACTGAAACAGAAAAAACAACATGTTCATTTGAGACAGCTTCTAGTTATGCCGGAACAGACAGAATAAAACACGTATTTAACCCTTGTTCAAATTGACTACTCTTTTACTATGTTCAACTATGTTGAAACAGAAATTTAAGGCCTCAAAATGACCACAGAGGGGATGAAAACGACTGAACAGCAACACAAGGGTTAAACAACATCAATCAAACAATAAAAATACATTAACATGTACCAGAACCAGGAGATGGACCTATTCCCAGTGTAGACGGCTGTCTTCTTTGTCCCGAAGGACCTGGAACATTAGACATACTTTGTTCCATTTATTTTCGGTAAATAACGCTCTCTAGGGTGTATAAATACGTTTACTGCAGTTAATTTAGGATTTTTCGCCTTGTTTGAGTATGAAATGCGGAGCTTCTCAATACACGTCTGCTCTGTGATGCGTCTGGTGGATTCTGACACTCGCGGCGCAGAACGCGTTCTATTCATGACGTAGCGTAGGGCGAGACCAAAGATGGGGGCCATGTAGGTAGAGGTATTCGCGTTTATTCTTCAGGGTATAAAAGATGAAGTGGTCTCTTAACCTACTGTTTAAGGCTGGCGATGACATTATAAAAACACGCGTGGACCTTATACAACTCTTTTGACATCTCTGCATGGGGGAAAAGAGGGAAGGTAATCACGGAAGGACTGGCATGATTGTTTTTGACGCGTCCAACACGGCTGATTAATTGAAGGACTCTGCATCGGCCTGTAGCTCTGCACTGAATTTACAATGTGATTCGGAATCGCGATGATTTGACTCCTGGTTAAACTTTAACAACGAGGTTGTCCAGAAACGGCCTCCAGACAAATGAAAAGTTTGTCAGCGACGGTGCAACAGCTTCTTCTGGATGTCGGTGAGCGCAGAGAGGCTCTTCATCATGTGGAAACATCTCGCTGAACGCAAGTCTACAAGACTGTAAGCGCTACAGGTGGAGCTGCTGTCTAAAGCTACACGAAAACATGGAGAAGATGTGCGAAATGTGTCTCTCGGCATATTAGGAAAGGTCGTTCCAGATGCTCTTCAGGACAGTGTTGATATTGCTCACCGTGTGGGTCCCAAACGCGCTGATGGCAAAGTCAGATCGGTCATAATCCTCCTCATACTGTGCCGCGGTCCGGACATTACTTGCGCTGCAGATTTGTAGCTGAACAGACTGCGTCTATCTATCGGAGCCCCTGTCACCAGATGACGATGACAGGGCAGCAGAGACACGCTGTGGCCTCTTGTGAGGAAAGCAAGGGAAGGAGGGCAAGAGGGAATCCCTCCGCGTCAGGGAAACTGTTCTCCTGTACTCCGATGTTAAATCACTGTTTAAACAAGATGACTTTGCATCACCTTTACGTGTTAAATATAATTAACTCTTTAACCAAGACAAAAGCACTAGAAATTTAGTTTGATAGCATTTCTTTACTCGTAATTACGCTAGTTCTGAACATATGAAGTGTAAGACCGATTTAACTAAAACATAATCAAATTAAAATATTTTGAATACTAAATCATAGCCATAAGCCATAAAATATTTCAGATTCTCATTTAACACGGTAATATACACGTTTTCTGTTTTTTTTTTTTTTAACCATAAAATCAAAATCAAGTGAATTAATGCAACAGGATTTAGTTTGGTAGATTTTTTTGTAAACCAGTAATGATGTGTAGTGTGAATCATTATTAGAAACAGTCATTCAAACAATATAAAACACTGAAAAACAAATCTCGATGTCCGTAGATTTGTCCTGAAACTTGAGAACTTGGATTCAGACTGTGTTCTCTTCGCTGGCTTTATGAAGTAAAGCCTCATCAGCAGTCTGCAGAATGAAAAGTCTAAATGAAATTCAGAAACACTCGCACAGCTCTTGGAATAATATGACAAATTCAACAATTAAAAATATTTTAATAATGAAAAACATGAACACCTAATTTTATAAAAAATTATAAAAAAATAACCTCAACATGTCCATAAACCAAAACAGTTCTTTAAAAGGTTCTTAAAGTTACATTTAGAACTGTTTGTAAGTGTTTTAGATTTGGAGAACCCGTTATTATCAATGCTGCTCAGCCACGTTCCTGGAGGACAACCAGCACTGCATGTTTTACATGTCTCCTTCTTCTTCCACACTCATTTCATGTCTAATGAGCTGATGATCTGAATCAGGGGGTCTGTTCTTCATATGTGGATCACTCAGTTAGGTGGATTTGGATGTTGACGATTTGAACACTTCCTGGTAATTTGCGGGACATCATTTCTGGCCTTTCAGAGTGCAGCTAAAGTCTTCTCTGAAGGAGTGTGTTTGAAGTCCAGCAGAGCTGCACGTTTATCTGTAATGGCTGCATCAAGTTATTCCCTCTTCACACCAGTCTGGATTTTTCCTCTCCTGCTTGCTAAAAGTTTCCATTGCTGAGTTGTAGATGGCATCTCGAACAGGGCTCCATCTGTCTGCTCCATCTATTTCATATATTGTAAATACGGAGTCTTAAAAGTTTCTGACCAAAAGACATTGTACACATGCATAAAACCAATTCACGGCTGCAAATATATATATTTACAAGAACTATTTACATGCAGAAAATAAAAATATACATTCATACAATACATTTCAGAGATACAAAACAACATTTACAAATGTATGACAGTGTTCATCCTGAATGACAACATGCAAGAGTGTGTGTGTGTGTGTGTGTGTGTGTGTGTGTGTGTGTGTGTGTGTGTGTGTGTGTGTGTGTTTGAGGCTTTCCTGGCAGCTGCAGCTCATTTGTACTATTTAGCAGATGAGAGCTGAAATCTATTATGCATCGCTTTTGTGCAATCTGACCCTCTCCAGTATGGTGAACGGAGATTGGGACGCCCACACTGTAAAAAAAAAAAGTACACTCAAAGTTTTAAGGCAACCAGCTTCAGGACATTTTTGAGTTTACTCAACTTAAATCAAGTTAAGTGCAGTACTTAGGTTGAAATTTGAGTCAACTCAAAGACGTTCTGAAGCTGGTTGAATTTTGAGTTGAGTCAACTCTTTATTTTCTTCTACAGCGCAGGCTACAAGACAAACATTAAATTCTTCTACTGACAGTGTTGAGTTGGGATTATTCAGAGCACAGTTTGTGAAGTCACAGAGTTAACTGTAGAGCAAACGTTTATCGTCTTTATTTTTAAAGCCTTTTAACTGAGAATTTCAGGAGTTTAAAGCAATAAAGTTTTGTTTACTACACTGAAAAAAATGATTTAGGCCTCTATTAAAATAAACATAATTCAATTTAGTTTATTTTAAACAATTTAATTTAGTTGTTGATTTTATTAAATTATTTTTAATAGGTTTTAAGTGAATTAGATGTGTTGTGATCCAATCTAAATTAATTAATTAAAGTCTATTAGAAAAAATTATGTTAGCTTTGTGCGCATGCGCGTTATGTTCCGTTGCCTCGGCGCCAAAGCCCAAAGGAAGTTTTACAGAATCCAGTCAGATGGAAGCAAGACGCCAGAGCCGGATTTCTGTACATTCATTTGCACAGTAAGTCACATTTTATATTGTACCAGACTGTTTATTACAGAAAAAACTTTGTGGGTAACATAGACGCATAAAATGGTCTCTCGTTCGGACTGTCTCTTTTGGTCGTTTTTAAATTTCACAGCGACCAGCCGTCGAGCGCGCTCGCAAGTTAAGCTAACAGTTAACGTTACACACGGTTTGACAAATCTCGCTTTTATGTCGCAGAATATATTTAAGATTCTTTTTAGCAAGAATGTAGTTATGTAGACTTGATATATAATGTTTTAATGAAGTAAATGGCTATTTTCAAGAGAATAAGCATTTTCTTTGATGTGACGACAGTGTCCGTGATCCGCCATTCCAAACGAAAAAAGTTTCGTTGCTAACGTTAGCTCAGTCCTTTGTAAATTTACCGTGGCTTTTACTATGGTTAACATTAAACATGCGTTTAGATAGTTGTGAACGGACAGTACCATACTGATTTTGTTTTAGAACGATTTGGTCTGGCGTTAGGGCACTACTGACTGTCTTAGGAGGTTGTCGAATGTGTGCCCATACTGGCGTAACATTAACTTTTAACGTAAAGGGCGTCCATTTATACAGTTCTGTATTTTTTACGTAAGATGCTGTAATTATGTCTTTGGGGTTATAATGCTGTTAATGGACTAACTTAGATTCACAGCAAGTGTTTGTCAGCCACCGATAAACGTCCAGCGCAAGGTTAACTTAATGTGACTTTTTCCATATTCATAAAGTGCCTTTTACATCAATGATAATGTAATTTAATTAAAATAATATCATTTAAATAAGCTGAAGCATTCCTTTAGTTGTTCAAACGTAAAACACATGCAGACGACTGCTAAAACTTCATGGAAAATACTGTTAAAATAAATGTACATATTTTTAAGACATAGCGATGAAGAATGGAATTTAATGCAGTGCTTTGTCTGGTCTGAGACCCACTTTATATCGTATCAATCAGGCAGTGACAATCACTGATTTAAAAAAAAATCTGACTTTGAAGGAGTAAACCCAAAAATTCCCCATTAACGTTAGTTTACTCACCCACAGACTTTCTTTCTTCAGTAAAACATTAAAGAAAATTCAGCTAAAATATTTAATGTTGAACTGAAGAAAAAGTTCTTGCTAACCTTATTGGTGTTGGTATAAAAATAACCCTAACTAAACATATCAATCACGTTCAGCAATTTGTTTAATAAGTAATTTATCTAAATGTTGCCTAATATAATTAATCGGTAAACAATATGTTGATTAAGAAGTTGGTCATGTTGTTACTTGTGCTGAATTTTGAACCTAAATGATGATAATCATGTGCTTCCTTTCATTTGAGGTACTGTACAACAAGTTTCCTTTGCTGAGTTCCTTGGTCAGGGGTTTAAACACATTTTCTGTCCAGTACTGCAGTTGGAATTTTCCATCAACTTTTTATGGTAAGTAACTGCAAAACATTTATCACTACACATTACAGTAAACAGTCTCTTAACTGAATATGTTGCTCTGAAAAATCTAAATAGTCCCAAAAAAGGAAATTTACTCACTATTCACTCACCATGTTTCCATGGTCCCAAACCTTTGAGTTTTTTTTATCTGTTGAACACAAGATAAAATATTTTGAAGAGTGTTAGAAACCAGTAATCATTGACATTCATAGTAGGAAAAACATATTATGGAAGTCAATGGTTACCGGTTTTCATCATTTTTCAAATGATCTTATGTTGTGTTTATCAGAACAAAGAAACTCAAACAGGTTTGTGACAAGTGAAGAATAAGTAAATGTTATTGTTGCTTCCCTAGTTTTCACAGTACTAGGGTGCAGTAAGAGCACAACTTTGATTCATCTCTGTGATTCTCTCAAGAGGGCCGACCAAAATGTCTGACCTGACATAAAATGATTAGACTATCTGATTGCCGACCAAGAGAGGTTATTCACCTCTTAGTTCCTCCTGTACATTGCATCAACACAGCACAGCAAATATCGAAGTTGAAATTTAATTTGATTCAAAGAAGAGTCGCATCAGAATTTGGCTCAAAATTGCACAATGCACATTCGGCCTTAAGCCTGGTTTGTACTTCTGCGTTGAGTGATTGGCGTGACCTACGGCGCCTGCCCTGCGTGCAGCTGAGCACTTATACTTGTGCGCGCTGTTTGTGTTGTTCTACAATAACACTTACAAAAGCAGTAGGTTTATATGTTCCCTCTGTATGGAGTTTCTTCGCTTGGGTTTTGTTTTTTCTGAACACTACCTTAATGAACAAGAAAATAAAACTCGCTCATTCTGAGGCGGGAGCCGGCGGTCATACAACAACTTTAATCATAAGGTAAAAACAAAGCAACAGTTTCCACCTCGAGCTATTTCATGGGACTCTACACTTGTAAACACTCGCTCCAATGGGTTGCCGTGGCTCTCAACCCCGCCCACACGCGTAAGTGTTACCAAGCCCACTAATAGAGCGTGCGCTACGTGTTGTTGCGATGTGTAGTTACATTTTTGGAGAGATGCGCCACGGCAAGGGCTATTCGACTGCGCGCAGGCTGCGTCGGACCATACACGTGCATTTGACGCAGAAGTATAAATCAGCCTTTACATGTCTTTATTTTGGCTGAACATGTCAAATTACAAGGTAGTCGAAAAAAGAAATCACTTTAAATATAGTGTAACTAAACAAACTATTCACAAGTAAACAGTCAGTTGATTAAATAAATTTGAGTATCATTATAAATGTAATATACATGTAAGGGACAATCGTCAGATTTTGGTGTGTTTAAAGATAATAAATGCACAACATCGAGGCAAAGTTTAATGTTTAGATTATTACTGCAAGTTGAAATTTAATATAGTTTTAATTTCTAAATAAATATAACATTTTAAAAATAAATATATAGGCTATGTTCTGAATAATGCTCATGTCTATGCTTATCATG